ATTCCATTAGCACCCTAGCCCATTTTTACTCCCATGCCACCACACTCTTGGCTAGCACTTACAACACCCAATGCACACGCTGGCCATTGCGCAGCCATTCTGTTAACACCCCAGTGTAATCCTACTAATTACATACATACACAGCCACCTTATACTTTACCCTTTACCTCCACCTTCTGCACCGCTAGCTAGCAATCCACCCCCACATTGGGACCTTATTGTTCTCTTGGTTTCCGACTCTAGTGTTTTCCTGACTTAGGTGAGTCAGGGTTTCCACCCAGCCCATTTTCACTCCTATACCGCCATGCTCTATGCAGCCACCACTTGTGACACCAGCTGCACATACTGTGTGCACTGGCCATACTTTACTGTGTGGAGCTTCATCACGTCATATCCCTTCTAATTGGCAGAACCTCCCTCCTGTGCACACACCATTATCATCATTTTATTCACCAATTATCAATTTCTTTTTGAGCACACCACAAATACTGGCATCATACAATGATTTCTTCATCGACTTTCAGAATCCAGCATTTAAATATAGTACTCCTGGTGCAGGCCCATCTTGTAAGTAGTCCATTACATACAAGTATTCTACACTGTCATATTTAATTCTACACCATCAAATTCATTGCTACCACCGAGTGCACCTATACCCATCGTTCCATCTTTGCCTCCACGTAAATCCATGTAGGTATCATCCATGAGAGGATTTCTTGTTGTGCTGTCAAATGTGGTATCCGAGTCCAGTGTCATGTCATGAGTCTCATCTACAGTGGACTGCAGTGCTGCAGGGGCCATGGTTTTTGCTGCTTTTTTTGTGGGTTTTTTTGGAGGTGAGGCCGGTAGGAAGTGTCCACAATCCAAGTCTCTGAAGAAATTGGCAACCATTTGTGTTATCTCCTGGAAGGCTTCCACACAGACAGAGCCTTTTCAAATGATGTAATGGATAGTAACACTGGATCCCAATGCAATAAAGAGGTGCTTGTAACAAACACTGTGGGCAAGGTACATTGGAACCACTGATTTGAATTGGAGTTTTTGATGGTTTTATATTTAATGACTTCAATATACTATCAGCTGATATTATTGTGATTGTATCACTATTTAACAATATTATCACTGATATCATCGTGATAGCCGATAAAATCAAGGCAAAATCAGACTAAAATCATTGATAGTTTAATGAAAGCATTAAATATAAAATCACCAAAAACTCCAATTCAAATCGGTGGTTCCAATGTACCTTGCCCGCAGTGAAACCATCACCTCAGTATCCAGCTGGAAGGAAAAGGGCCACAACGTACCTTGACCCAATAATTTACAGCTATTCTTGAAATTAATGAGACCAATCACTTTTTTTTTTTTTCACATTCCCAAAAAAGGAAGGTCAACTCACTTTGGGTAAATGTACCATTCTGTTGGGTGTATCATACAGCAAGCAGTGCTTGGAGATCTTTAGAGATGAGATACAAGTGACACCAGTTAGACAGCAGCTTGCCAGCAGAACTGGGCCAATTTGCAATATGTGCATGTGACCTCACCGGCACATCTGTTTGCTTTCTCCTGGGTCCTGCAAGCAATATTTCACCTCATAAAGCTCAAAAATAAGATGGCAAAGCTACTCACAGCATTCCTTAGTACAATTGGGAGGGTATAGTAATGCTTTTACTGGCACCTTCCTTTTTGGGAACTCAAAAAAAAAAAAAAATTGATCAATCTCATTAATTTCAAGAATAGCTGTATTTGCTTGAGATACAAGTCCAATGGAATAAAGTGGCCAGGCTTTCCCCAACAATTTACAAACTAGGACCTCTCCAGCATGTTCCATAATTTATCGGTTAGCTTGTACCTCCACTGTACCAGGACTTCTACGCACTTGCGAGCATAGTTATGCTGTCTGACACCACAGAAGGCTAAACTCCAATATTTGAGGACACATATTAGTTGTCCAGCATCTGCAAAGCTGACTGCCTTCTCAAATAGCATGAAGAACAACAAGTCACAGATGAAATAAATCCAATCATCTCCCACAGCTTGCACTTTTTTTGCGGCTGTTGCATTTGCAAAATCGCTGGAAAGGATCAATGCAATGGCTTGAATTTTTTCAAGGGTTGGGGTCCACCCCACCAGCTGTGAGTACAACATGAAGCCCTGGATAACCCTAAAGACAGTCAGGTCAGATATTGATTCACCATAATAGAAATAATTGTACATGATGCAGTGCAATATCCAGGTGATTAAGGAGTGGCAGATGAGGGACTTTGCAGCAGCATAATTAGGTGTCCCATTTGCAGTTTAAAAGACCCTTGTGCGCTGTGAAAGATGCCAGGTCTTCGATGGCATGGCCATATTGTGTCCGCATAATCATATGGGTGGCTTGGAGAGCAAAGTGCCATGGTGCACTCAATTTGTCTGCATACTCAAGGTGTTCCATTGCATTGACATCATCTGTCCGGTCCTGGCGAGCAGCTTGAAGATTGTTGGAGGTAAGCCAATCCCAATGAAGATATGGCTGATCAAAGACCAGACTTATTAGGATAGCATACTGGGCTCCTGAACGCCCTCGAGAACTTTCATGACACCCTTTTTAAAGCCTTCATTGATGTCCAACACCTCGAACGGACATGCATTGACTTTGTCAGGAGGTAGTGGTCTGTCCAGTGGCATCATATCTGTGACTCCGGCCATGATATCTTTTATGATCACGCCATTTGCTATTCCCTGAACAATAGGCAACAATCATCTCTGTGATGAGGGCAAACGATCTGCCTATGATCTCATCATCCTCTGCCATAGGCAAGACGTCTGCAGGTTTGGCCTTTGACCTATTCCCATGCAGTGCAAGTTTTTCTGCAAGATTGGCAGTGGTAAACAGCTCAACATTGTTGATGCCAATGATAGCACAGTTGGTCGCATTGATCATGTAGTTCGTATTTGATAGCTGCTGCTGAAACTTGCAGAGGAATATATATTGATGTTGTTGAATATGGTGAAAAAGACCTGTCCACTGGTGATGAGCTTGACAGCCATGCTGATCACGTCCTTGGAAATTCAGACCTTGAGTTGCTCAATGGTGTCACCTGAGACACAAACACCCATGTTGCTGAGCATCTGTATGATGTGCAAGCTGGTGCCAGATATTTTGAAGAAAAGACCGAGAAGAAGCAGCAAAACTGTTTTATTTGTGGCACGATTGCAAACAAACAATAGCATACTGGGGCTCAGAAGAATTGCCTAAACACGAGGATAAGCTTCTCAAGCTGTTCACAAAAGTACTCACAAACACAGGGTTGTGCACAGAACCTGTGTACTCCCGGGACCAATGAGGTGGGACAGAATCAGGGTGAGCCTCACCTGATTCAAGATTTGGATTGTCAGGCCAATCTTCATCATTTTCAGATGCTGCATCTGGCATAGTATCATCCTCTTCATCTTCAAAGTCTGCTGCTGCCACTGTGTCTGCTGCCTGCTGTCATCAATGGTTGTTTGGAGATGCACAGAAGGTGTGTAGAGTTTTCCACATGAAAGGTGCAAGGCCTTTGAAGACTTCAATTAATTTTTGGGGGTGCAAGAGAGTTCAAAGTTTGTGAATGGTGAGAGTCTTCATTTTGATATAGAGCTCAGGACTGTTTATGAGGCGGTTACTGTCCTGGAGTGCAAGCTCATGAGCACAGGGGATGGTCATAGTTCGAATATGGCCCTGTGCCCATGGCCAGTGAGCACAATCATGCCAGAGCCTGAATAGCATGGCTGGGCCAAACTGTGCTTCTGGTGTATCCTCAGATTCAAAGATTCCCATGAAGGTGGAAACGCAGTGGAAGACACTTGGTATGTTGATGGTGAATAGCCAATATATTAGTGACGGATGGAAACTGAAAGGTACATTATTAGCGAGAAGATGAGATGCATCTGCACCTCGAGTGGAAGCCCTTTTTCTGCCTTGGGAATCCGTCCTCTCCAGAATTCATGGTCATATTGAAGGGTGGCCAGCTTTGGGCACTGAAAACATCACAGAATGAAGCCAGAAAAGTGCTTGAATGGTTGTGCTTGAAGAGCCCTGGTCAACAAAGAAAATTTCATGAAAGTCTCACTGAATGTCACACTGAGTCACTAATTAAATGTGTCTCATCCCATCGTCCCAAAATGGTTGCTGAGATGAAAGTGTGTTTTGTGAACTTCCAAGACTTGACATCACTTATTTTTTGCAGAGAGATCTTCTCCTGTGATGTATCCAGTCCCATAGAGCCCATAAAACCCATGAGAAAGAGTTGTACAAGCTTTTCTTTATCCTGAATTGATTGGAAAAGACCTTGTCAAAAACCATGATTTTGGAAGGTCTCCTTTCCCCAGAGAATTAAGCTGAGGTGGGGGATAGATAGGAATCGATCTCATGGTTGATTTCGCACTTTACATTGAGTATATTGGACAGGAAATGGTGGAGGTATGGACATCTGAACACAACCCCTTTTTTCCCGAGTTTGCGGCAAGCCTCTCTCTGATATTGTCTGGCTTGCTGGACCAGAGGCAGGCTTGCTCCAAACCTGAGTTCAGGGGGTTCACCTACACGGGCTAATTCTGAGACCATGGGAGCCAACTCATGATGTTCATGTGACTTATCATTGCGAGCAAATCTTATCTAATGCACGTGATCAGGCTGTATGCAGCAAACAAGTACAATTTCAAGTGTACGTGGCTGATAATCCTAAAGGGCTTCAAAGTCGTTCATTTCGAGAGTTATTAGAATGCCATTAGTTGCAAATGGTGGGGCTTCCTCAGGCGGTTCAAACAGTACCTGACTTTTAGCCTCCACATCGAAAATTAGCGGTGTCCTAAAAAGGAAAGGGTCTGGACCATGCTGTGCAAGGGCTTTTGTCTTCTGAGAGAGCTTTCCCGCGCGGCCTGAGCGGATCCCTAGTATATCGGTAGGAGCGAAACAAATTTCAGCAAAAAGAAAAGCTGAATGGAACATGTGGCCAACGGCCAGTAGAACAAAAGAACGACGCGAGCAGGATTTGAACCTGCGCCCGGAAACCGGAACAGATAGATAAAGAAATTCGAATCTGTCGCCTTAACCACTCGGCCATCGCGCCATACGGAGTCTGTGAACCTGTACAATATCGAGGGCGGGGGGATTCTAGACACAATATTATTCAATAAAAAAACTTCCTCTGTTGAGAATCCAGTGGTGGCTGATTTCCAATGCGGTCGCTCCGATGGAAACATATTAGTTTTTCGAGAGATAGCCACGAAAGACATGAAAATTCAAACGTCAGGAGTTCGAGTCTACTCTACGAGCGCCCCGACCCGACCGCCCCGACCTGTTCTCGAATTTCTTTGCCGAGTCTAGATTGGCGGGCCAGAATGAGTCGAGTCACGAGACCGGCGGGTCAGACGAAAGTCACTTGTAATTTGCAGAGGCTCCCCATGTCGTCGCCAGTGTCGTCGCTGACGGCGTCGCGGTCGCCGTCGCCCGAGCCGCCGGTGCAGCCCGACCACTTTTATGGCGCAGACCCATCACACCTGCCGCCATCGCCCGATTCCGAGGGCAAGACATATCTGTCGCCCGACGACGACCCCCTGGCTCATCGCGGCATCCCCGTCTTCAAGCCATCGATGCACGAGTTTGCCGACTTTGAGGGGTACATGAACCGTGTCGAGTGCTGGGGCCGCCGCTCCGGCATCGTCAAGGTCGTGCCACCGAAGGAGTGGTCCGACGCACTGCCCGACGTCAAGCACCAGCTTGCCCAGGTCAAGATAAAGAGCCCCATCGAGCAGTTCATGCGTGGCCGGGCAGGCCTCTTTCGCCAGGAGAATATGGAGAAGCGCAAGCTCATGAGCGTGCGTGAGTGGGCTGAGCTTTGTGCAAAGGACGAGTTCCGCGCACCCGGCGTCGACCAGGTCGGCGTCCACAACAACCCCAGTGCCCAGGCACCCCTCCGCAGTCGAAAGAAGAAGCCCCGTGGAAAGGACACCACCGAAAAGGACGAGCCGGCGGTCAAAGCGGAGCCTCTCGAGCACGGACCCGCATCTCCCCCAAACAGTGCCTCGCCCGACCCCGAGGACTCCAAGCCTGATGACGGAAAGCCCGACGACAGCAAGCCCCGCAACCGCCGCATCGAGCGCGCAGACAAGGACGCGTCCTTTCTCGACTCGTTCAGCCCCCACACCGACTGGCTCCCCACCGGCACAACCCCCGCCGACTATACCCCCGAGTTCTGCGCAAAGCTCGAGCGCGCCTTTTGGCGCAATTGCGGCCTCGGCAAGCCCGCCTGGTACGGCGCCGATACAATGGGTGCGTGTCATACAGTTCTACTGCTTTCCCTCTATTAACCGAACGACCACAGGATCCCTCTACACTGACGCTACCACCGCCTGGAATGTCGCCCACCTCCCCTCCACCCTCTCCCGCATTCTCCCCGCCTCCTCCCAGGGTCTCCCTGGCGTAAACACACCCTACCTCTATTTTGGCATGTGGCGCGCAACCTTTGCCTGGCACGTAGAAGACATGGACCTCTTTTCTATAAACTACATCCATTTTGGCGCACCTAAGTTCTGGTACGCGGTGCCCCAGGCCCGCGCCGGTGCCTTGGAGGATACTATGCGAGGTCAGTCGCGCCTTCTATGCTCCTTTCCCTCTAACACTTCTCTCCCCAGGTTACTTCCCGAAAGACACATCCACCTGCCCCCAGTTCCTGCGACACAAATCCTTCCTCGCATCCCCGACGCTACTCGCCCAATCTGCCGTGCGCCCGAACCACCTCGTGCAGCACGCGGGCGAGTTCGTCATCACCTACCCGCGCGGCTACCATGCGGGCTTCAACCTCGGCCTCAACTGCGCCGAGAGCGTCAACTTTGCCCTCGACAGCTGGCTCGACGAGGGCCGCAAAGCCGCCGTATGCAAGTGTGTCGAAGACAGGTCCGTTTCTCGCGTTCCCCACAATAATCTCCCCGCTGACCAAACCTCTTCAGCGTCCGTATTGACGTCGACGCACTGCTCGAGGACCGGCGCATCGAGGCGCTCGAAAGGACTGACCCGGTCGCCGCCGCCCATGCGCGCGCTGTCCGCGATGGCTTCGACGGCGAGGACACCGCGGAGATGCTCCCCGTCGAGCCTGCGCCGGAACCGCTCCCCACCGTCATTCTCCCGCCGGCCAAGCCGCGCAGCCCGCGCAAGCGTAAGCCCACCACGCCCTTCGAGCCCGAGAGCGCCGCCAAGCGCCCCCGCACCGTCTCTGCCCCGTCCGCCTCCGCCTCCACCTCCGCCTCCGCTCATGCTCCCGCCCCCGCGTCCTTCCACGCGTCGCACTCCCACCCGCCGCACGCCGCGCCCAAGCTCACGCTCAAGCTCGGCCCGCGCCCGCCCGAAGAGACGTTCCCGTGCTGCCTCTGCGTCGACCCGACGCTCGACGGCCTCGCGCGCGTGCACGACCTGCCGGCGGCGTGGCGCGACGTCGGGCCCGCGGCGCGGATTCACTTCCCCGCGGACACAGGCGGCAAGGGCGTGTGGATGGCGCACGAGGCGTGCGCGCTCGTGCTGCCCGAGACGTGGGTCGACGAGCTCGCCGGCGAGCGCGTCGTGTTCGGTGTCGACGGCATCGTGCGCGGCCGCTGGAACCTCGTACGTCGCCTCTCCCCTCGTTCTTCCGCTGACATTCGCTGATGTTTGTTTTCAGAAATGCTCCGCGTGCACGCGCGCAAGGGCGAAGGGCCACGGGGCACTGATCCAGTGCACAAAGGGCAAGTGCCCCAAGTCGTTCCACATCAACTGCGCGCGGGCGGGCGGCGCGTCGGGCATCGCGTACTCGGTGCTGCGTGAGGTCGAGAAGGAGGTCGTCCTGCTTGAGCCCACGCCCGCGCCCGAGCCCGACGCGGACCCCGCCGCGCCGCCAGTGGAGCCCAACGTGCGCGTTCTCAAGGTCATCAGGAAGGTCGAGATCGAGGCGCTCTGCCCGCAGCACAACCCCGTGCGTCCCGTCCCTTTTGTTTCGATAAAACGAATAAAATACTGACAGCGGACAGGTGATCGTGGCGGAGCGGCGCGCGTCGAAGCAGGAGGGCCTGCGCGCGGACGTGCTGGCGCTGCCGCCTTTATCGCGCATCAAGATCCGTGTGAGCGCGGGCGTGTTTGAGGTGACGCTCATGCGCGTGCTCGCGGAGCGCCGCAGCGTCGAGGTGCTCTGGGACCTCGGCGAGGTGCGCGAGTTCAAGTGGGGCAGCATCATCCTCGGCGCGACGAACCTCCCCACCATGCAGTTCCCCGGTGCGTCGTCGCACGATCCCATTTGTGCGCTTGCATGCCATGCTGACCCGAGACATAATAGATAACCCGAGTCCCACGCCGCAGGCGATCGCGCCATACCCCGTGCCGTACCCCGCCCAGTATCCCGCCGCTGTCGTGCCCGGGCGGCCCCAGAACATCGCGCCCGCGCCGCGCGTCCCCCCCACCGCCCCCGCCGCGCCCTCGTCCCAGCCGAACGCAGCCCCGAGCCAGAGCCAGAACCCGTACAGCGTGTTCAAGTACGAATACTGGCCCGGGTATCCCGGTGCCTACGGTGCGGGCGCGAAACCTCCCAACGCCGCGTACAGTGCGCCCGCCAACATCGCCAACATCAGCACCCACACCCCCAACCCACCCAATACCAACACCAACACCCACGCGACTACCACCGCCGCCAACACTGCAGGTGCCAGCACGAGCACCGGGCACTACCTCAACCAGTACTACAAGGGCCCGCAGCCGTGGTCATCGCAGTTCTACCTCCCGGGGCAGGGACAGGCGTACTACCCGCCGTTCCAGGGCCAGCCACAGCAGGCGCACCCGCAGACGCAGACGCAGACGCAGACGGCCGCGACGCTGTTCTCAGCAAACCTCACTGGGCCGGGTTCTGCTGGTGGGATGCCCGCGAGTGCGACGGCGTCCTCTGGACAGCCCTCTGCGCCTGCGACGAGTTTTTCTGCCCTTCCCAGTTCTGCTACCCCTCCGAGTTCCGTTGTCCCTCCGCCCCCTCCTCTCTCTGATGCAATGCACGTCGATGTGCCCGCGCCTCAATAGTCTGCATACCCGTTTTCGTCCGCTGTGCATCGCGTACCCTATCGTAAATGCCGTGGTCTTTTTCGTTCGCCGGTGAAATATTGTTATTCCTTGTGTAATTCTAGACAGAATCCTCGACTTGAATAAACCGTGCTCTCTACCGCATTGCATTGCATTCATTCGCCGTCTTTTCGTTTGCTGACAAATATTGTTATTCCTTGGGTAATTCTAGACAGAATCCCGGACTTGAATAAACCGTGCTCTCTACCGCATTGCATTCTATTCTCGGGGTATGGTATTATAGAATCCGCCCTCCTCCATCCGTCCGTCCATCGTCCATTACAAAACTACACACATGTCTAGTGGTTCCGCATCAGTGTCCAATATAATTATTTAATCGCTACTCTATCTAGTATTATAGCGCCGGGCGGCCGATGGTGGTGACCTGCGCGGGGTGGTAAGTAAGGAAAGAAAACACGCGCAGGAGGAAGGGAACGGACCTTGAAGCCGATCTTGGTCAGGGCGGCGGCGTCGACGAGGAGGCGGCCGTCAAAGACGAACGCAGGCTTCTTCATGTGCTTGTACACCTCGGCCCAGTCGATCTCCTTGAACTCCTTCCACTCGGTCGCGATCACGATGGCCTCGGCGTCGCGGCACGCCTCGAGCGCGGACTTGCAGATCGTGACCTGCTTTTTGACTGCGCAGAGTCAATCAGCGTTCGGATGCATGGGGGAAGTACGTACTGGTATCGGCGGGGACGGCGGGGCTAGCCTCGCCGAGGTCGGCCCAGATCTGGCTCTCGGCGACCTGCGGGTCGTAGATGTTGATCAAGGCGCGCTCGGCTTGGAAGTCGCGGATGATGGTGATCGCGGCCGACTCGCGCGTGTCGCCCGTGTCCGCCTTGAACGCGAAGCCGAGGACCGCGATGCGCTGCAAATACCGTCAGCATGGAGGGAAGGTATTCGAAACAGGCCCACGAACCTTGCCGGTGATGGTGTTGAAGAGCGTGTCGACGACGCGCTTGGAGAAGCGGCGCTTCTGGTACTCGTTCATCTCGAC